AAAATAAAGCCTTTTCCGAAAGGTCCCTTATTCCTGATTTTAAGAGGAATAAGGGACCTTTCGGAAAAGGGTTTATTTTCCAAAAGATCCCGTCTAGACTGGCGCTTTTCTCCGGCAAAGCCCGAGCCGGAAAAAAGCGGCAGCCATGTTTATACAAATGAAGCGGGGGATATTTAAATCCCCCACTTCATTTGCAATTCCGACTTGTCTCATCTGCATCCCTTTTCTGGAAAAGGGGTCCAGTGTAGACACAGCCTAAGTGTAATACTCACTTATCTTTACTGAATTTCATCTTGTTGAATTCAGACCAATTCTCCAAATTTTTCAATGTTGTGAATTCTAGTTCTGTCTACCAAAGTGCTTATAACCCCTCCCAGCTTGGTGTCATTGCAAGTGTTATGTCTCTTCCCCACCCAGCCCAGTTTCCTGCTACAGAAGTGGAGACCAGCAACTTGTTCCTTTTAACCTCAGCAATCTGTTTGCACTAATTTATATCTGCTTACATTTTCAAGGTTACCTCCACCAAGAAAAGGCTCAGATCAATATCTTATGACTGAAAGCTGAGACTTTACCTTCACACAGCTTTCTGCACTTGATTGGTAGATTAAACATTTTTTCACAAAAATGGCCAAGCTGTTTTCTGATTTTAAAATGGTTTTCTTGTATCTTCAAGTCTTTTCCCATTTTGCTGGAGTTACTTTGTAACATACATTTTGTATGGCTGGGAATGCTTTCATGCTTACAATGGACTAGTGGGATCAGGAGAATAATTTTCAAAAACACATGGGGCAATATCTACACTGAAAAAAAAAAAAAAAAAAAAAAAAAAAGGAGCAGCAGCATGTCTCAAAGCCCAGGTCCACCAGCTCTGGCTCATGTTATTGGGGTTAAAAATAGCAGTCTAAAGTTCAGACTCTGAAACCCAGTAATGGGAAGGGATCCCAGGCCCTAGGCTCCAGTATGAGCGTGTAAATCTACACTGCTACCAATTCCACTGATCCAGGCACTGAGCTATTTTTTGCAGCATAGATATATCCTAAATCAGTGTTTCTCAACTTTTTTTAAAATAAAGTACCCCTTTTAAAAAAAAATTATAAGTACTCTCCGTACATAGTTTTCAGACACACAATTTTTTTTCTACCATTGCAACACATTTGTTTAAATAATTTAATCGTAGCCAGGCGGGTGATGAAATTTTTGGGTGTAAAAAGTATAAAAATAATAAAGCACTGTAAAACTTAAAACAAAAATTCAGTTTTCTCCAAATTTCAGTTGTGTTGATGTACCCCCCCCCCCCTAAGGGTACTCGTACCACTGGTTGAGAAACACTGTCCTAAATGACTTATGAACTTAATTCCCATTTGAAACTCTTACTTTAGGTGTTCCACTTTTAGCAAGACTCTTCTTTTTCAGGAAGCCAATTAATTTTTTTCCTGTGTCACCTCTCCAGCAGACTAATGCACGTGAAACATGTTTAGAATGTTTTTCCAATTTACATCTTAAAATCCATACCATGTCACATACATACTCCTTAGGGCTCTCAAAGGTTCACTCCAGTAGAAATAAATTACTCCAAACCATGGCATTTGTAATTTCCACTGTGTCACTTTGGCTTTTTTCATTCTGTAGTGTCAATTTTTAATTCCGACCAGGTAGAAATCCTACTGTTTTGTTTTCAGATATCTGATATTCTTAAACTGGGCATTTGGGAAAGGAACATTACATCTCACTCATTATCATTTAAAATGAAGGGAGATATTTCCTGCTACTTATTACCAACAGGTTGAGAAATACCTCTCCTGACCAATGTTCTGCTTGGACCAAATTTTGTCCCTCTGAAATCAAGGACTGGATTCTGTGACTGCTCCAAACTCCTCCTGCTAACAGAGATCTGCTATAAAATGGGAAAAGCTCAGGCAGAGCTAGCCCTGTGATCACTTCCTGCTTCTGAGAGCCACACCTCAAACACAGGCAGTCAGTGACTATGGCCAAGAGGAGACCCAGAAGAAAATTGCAAGTATAATGGCAGAAAAGCAAGAAATGAAACATCCATGTAACCATAACTAATAGGAATGCATAGAAAGCAAAAGCCTGAACTAGTGTGTGCACCTACCAGTCACTGCTTGCTCTTGGTTTAATTACCTTCTAAAGAAGAGCCAAAATTAAAGCCATTTATCCTCTGACTTGTTCTTAATCCAGGGTGTAGTCAAAGTGGCATTTAACTCCTGAAGGCCTCTGTTTCTACAAAAGCCTCGCTGATTGGTTTTAAAAACCAAAATCTTCCATAGCATGGCTCAACTCTGCTTTCTATTCAAGTTAAAAGAAGAAACGACACAGGGCACCCCCCCCATTAAACTTTTTAGGCTCTGAAAGCTTGATGATGGAAATAATTGTGTGAGAGTTGGCTTCAGGTGGTGCAGCTCATCTGAGCTTAGTTTCATTCATGAATGTTGCAGACACAGGCTTGGCTTATATGCTGTCAACTTATGTCAGTATAACAAGGCCACTCAAGAGGGTGGAAAATCTACACCCCATGCGACATGGTTATGCTGACCTAACTCCTGGCATAGATAGCTTTATTTATGCCATTAGGAGGGCTTCTCTTGTTGACAGTGCTGGCAAGAGATGCTTTGCTGTTGGCATTTGCTGTGGTGTATTCACTAAATGCTAGAGTGGCACAATCACATTAAAGCAGCTGCAGCACTGTAAGTGTGGAGAAACCCTCAGGCCTGAAATCTATGAGGTTTAAGGGCCTTGATGATGATGTTCCTATCTAACTGCACTGTCATGTGGTTAACTGATACTTTTAAAACCAGGGTCAGTTTCTAACGGAAAAGGAAGCTTTCAAGGGACACTCTCTTGAATAAATTGGTCTTGTGTATTTTTCCAGGAAAGTGATCTAGAAACAATAACATTGTTTAATGAGAGAACTAAAATTGTATTGGCATAGGTTTTTCAGCAGCTTTATGTTGAATTTCATGAACAAAACAGGCAGTGTTTCTCGGCAGATAGATCACCAGACTGGGACTCAGGAGACCTTGGCTGGGCTGCTGGGTGACCTCAGGTCACTTTGTGCCTAAACATCTGCATTTGCAAAACAAGCATAATAGCTCCTTTTTAAAGTGCTTTGAGACCTCTTGAGGAAAAGCTTACTAAAAACATGATACCTGTTATTCTCAAGTAGAGATGGACAAAATCTAAGACTGATCATTGAAACCTCCCATTATATGAGGGAAAAATAGTTCATGAACTTATCCTCACCTGCTTCTTTTGGTTTTAATTCAATTTGACTAGACCCTGCTGTTTATTATTTCTATTTTCATCCATTCTGTGGAGCAGTGTTTCTCAACCAGTGGTATGAGTACCCTTAAGGATACTCGAGAGAAGTCTGGGGGGGGGGTACGTCGACACAACTGAAATTGGGAGAAAACTGAATTTTTGTTTTAAGTTTCACCACGCTTTATTATTTTTGTCGTTTTTTACACCCCAAAATTTCATTGCCCATCTGGCTATGATTAAGTTGTTTAAACAAATGTGTTGCAACGGTAGAAAAAATGTTTGTGTCTGACAACTGTAGATACTGAGGGTACTTTCTCAACCTTTTTTTTTTTTTTTATAAACAGTGCTGTGGAGCTCTAGCAGTTTTGACACTGAAATGGTGTGTTTAATTGACAAGACAATATTTGAAAATAATACATACCAGAGTGACAGACTTTTTATTCCTGAGGTAACTTTCAATTGCATCATTATTTGGGGCAAAAACTGTGTAAGTATTAGCTGCTTCTATTTCATTTGCCAGGCTATATTGCTGTTGAGGAAAGACATAAAAAAACCTTTGTAATGATATTTGGCTACCAATCCAAACACACACAATCCAGAAAACTACTCTACTTATATTCTTAAAATAATATGAATACTTGCAATAACATAACCCCTGAAAATGGAGTAATCAGGCATCTGTTCTAAGCGGGCCAGCAGTTTTGGCAATGTGCCACTCAGACCTCTGAGTGGTGTTAGAACCTGAAATAAAAGCATACAAACAATGTCAATAGATGGACATATATCATGTTTGCTGCTGCTAGGACTAGAAATAGAATTAATTGTTGCACCATTCGATATATTTCCACATCTCTTGGCAGTTTTCCCATACAAGCTGTATTGCCTTGCTCAGGAGGCAAAGGAATCGAGAGCAGTCGGATAACTTTTTAATTATATGGTCAGGTACCTTATCAATAACATGGATGACTCCATTTGTAGCTGCAATATCACCAACTACAATGTTAGCCCCTTCAATAGTGATGTTCTGAAAAGCAAAGGAACAGAGTTTACTTTTACATCACAGTTACACCTGTTTGCTAATTGCGTGTAGCAGACTGCTACTTGTCTTAAGTTTGCATAGAGCTAGATCGTATCCTTGTCTAATGTGAAATGCATGGAAGGCAGTAACCTTTCCTTCTCCCAGCCTAGCCCATGTTAGGGCTCCCCAGATTCAAAGTCCTGGAACACAAAGGCTGTACCCTAGATAATTTGCTTTGCAGAAACTGGGTGGAGAGTATGTAGCATTGTGGCTCTGTCTCCCTACTAGAGCTGGGTGAATTTTTTTTAGCTGACAAAAATGCAGTTTCAGGCAGGCTGAAACTAGCCACAAACAACTTTGGCCAACCACAAATTGACTGGGGGGAGGGTGCTGGATTGGCTGCTGCAGGCCTCTGGTAGTATTTTAACCCAGTGGTTTGGGTACTTGCCCGCCATGTGAAAGACTTAGGTTTGGATCCCTGCTCTGAAATCAACTTTTATGATTTACCACAAATTCTGAAAAATTTTACATTTGGTTCAGTCTAAAGCATGCTTCTCCCCCCCTGTTTTTTGGTTGTGGAGCTGATGTCGAACTGAAAAATCAGTTATTTGCCCAGCTCCATTTCCTACATGCCGGCCAGCAAAAGTGGCTGGTTGCATCAAGGCAGCAGCACTGTGGCTTCTTTAACTAGGTGAAGTTAATTGCTCCCTTTCCCCAAATGTACTGAAAGAACCTCAGGAGGAATCATGTCTCTGAGGCAGAAGTTCCTAGTTCTTCTTCTGAGGTGATGCACCTAGTTTTAATGGGCTAGTGGAACCCTTCAACATGCTCCCCCAAAGAATACTCCTCCAAGGGACAAAATACTATGGAGTTTGCATATTCCCCGAAACACAATAGTGTCCTACAATAAATCAGCCAGCTACTGAAGGCAAGGCTGAGAGGACCTGCCAGGACACCTGGCTTTCATTATATATCTTTTAAAAACACTTTCAAATGATTTGGGACCATCGAGCTATGTATACAGGCAGCCAAAGTAGTTGCATAATTTCATTACTGTTACGCTAATTTCCTCCATCCCTCCCCGTATTGTTTGTTACACTTGTTTACAATTAGACTGTAAACTCTTTTGGGCATGGATTATGCTTTCCTATTTGTATAGAGTCCCTTTCAATAGGGATCTGATCATTTATTGTTTCTGACTGCTACAAAAATACCACTAATAAAAAACATATAAGGAGTGATGAGTCTCAGTCTGATTGTCTAGATAAAGCAGTAGAGAAAATAGTACTTGTCAGAGAACCCAACAGTGGGAGAATGTTACAGGGAAATTCCTATAGTGCAAAAGTTACAGGCATATTTAAATGTAAGAATATGCATTTGTATTTGTAATATTATAGCATTACTTACAGTGATGGAGTGAGAGCAAGATGGAATTTCAAGCTAGCTGAAAAGTGATCTTACCTCATTTTCTTTGGACAGATGCAGGAAATTATTATGCAGAGATGTTGCTAGCATGTCGGTTGATGATAAATTCTGAAGGTCAGCAAGTCTATACGCTCTCATTAATACATGATACCTAAAATGAAATTCAGCTAGATTCTTATGTTTAGATTTTCTTACAGTTTACAGATAAATATGTTTTAGATAAAACTTTCTAGGTCTGATTCTGGTTTGAGCTGGTGCAAAGCGAGAGTTGTTTGTTTACTGCATAGATATAGGACAATTGGACCCTGATCTCAATTGGGGCTTCTAACTGTACGTAAAAATGTAATAGCTGCCTCACTGTAATAAGTTCAAATTAAAAGTATATTTGCATTCATCACCTATTAATTTAAAGAAACAGATGTATCAACTATTAAATAAAACAACATACTTTAGTAGGGTTTGAATGTTATTCTTTGACATCCAAAAGGCTTTCTCTTCTTGATCCATGTTGTCAATTGCTTGAAGAGAAGGCACAAGGACGGTTAGATTTGAAGTCCCTGATAGCATCATGTTTATTGAAGCCTCCTGAATCAGAGTAAAAATGTGTTATATTAGATGTCCTAAAAGCTACTCTGTGAATGAAATAGGTATTCTCAGATGAACCTTTTAATAGGGTACTGTACATGAGTTGTGGTACTGGTGTGGGAAGAAGAACCATGAAGTAGTGTAATGATTTGAACCAACTAATACAAAGATAGGTACACCGCCCCCCAAGAGTGGAAAACCATAACAGTGGATTTTTAGTCTGTGTATGAAGAATAGAAACAATCTTAACAGTAAGGAGGAAGAGATAGGATCTGAATACTTCTGACTACCCTTCATGGGTAGTTTAGGTACAGCTATTATTAAGCAGCAGTAGAAACGACTACATTTTAAAATCCAAATACATAAAATAAATGACACAGTAAGAAGTACTGAGATAGGATTTAGGTACTGCTTATTAAAATCTTAACAATCTTAACAAGGATAAAAACCAATTTTCTGTAGATAACCATAAAAATGAGTCAATCTTATTAAAATTCCCTTCGGGTACTGTTGACAATTCCACTTGTAACTAGGGGCTGTGGGTTGCTAGTGTTTGAGTATGCTAACTTGTGTTTCATTTAGCAATGTTGGGTATTAGGCTGTGGAGGAAACTGGGGAAGAGAGATTGAGGAATAATCTCAATGTAGCCCTATTCTCATAAAATTTGCTATTTTCACTCTTGCTAACTTTCATGGAGCATGAGCATCAGGTTTGTCTTGCCCTAGCTGGTGAACTGCCTGGAAACTGATCGTGGTTTCTTGGTTCTCCTTTATTCCTTTTCTTGTCATTTCAGTGTCAAGAAAAAATATGCATAAACTAGCCCCTGATATAGACTCATGGAATCCTAGAACTGGAAGAGACCTTGAGAGGTCATTGAGTCCAGTCCTCTGTCCCCTGCAGGACCAAGCACCTTCTAGACCGGGGTGGATTAAAGGGTCTCGTGGGTCGGATCTGGCCTGCCAAGCAAGTTGATCCGGCCTGCAGAGGCCCTGCTGTTTCCCCCACCCATAGGCCATGACCTGGGGAAGCACGTGAAGTCTCCTCCCACCTTGCAAGGGGCCTAGTACTTAAAGTCAACCACCAGCTGCTGCTCAGTGGCGGTTGACTGTAAGCACGGCGCTCCCTTGCAGGGTGGGGGCAGGGAGTGAGAGACTTCACGTGCTCCTCCTCCCCAGGCCCTGATTTACCTGGGGGCAGCAGGAGGAGCATGCTAAGTCTCCTCCCACCACCAGTGGCACGGGTACCTAGAGGGAACTGCCAGTTGTTTTGAACAGCTGGTAGTTCTCTTGGGTGGGGGGGAGGAAGGGGAGGAAAGACTTTGCATGCTCCCTCTCCCAGGCCAGTCAGGGTCTGTGGGTGGGGAAGCATGGAAGTGTCTGGCCCCGCCCCTTCCACCTTAGGCCCTGCCCCATCCAGGGCGGTCCGAGGCCACTTCAAAAATTTCCAAGTGGCCCCCAGTCAAAAATTATTGCCCACCCCTGTTCTAGATCATCCCTGACAGACATAGCTGGTAATTATATCAGTTAGTGTCATCTTTTCTTTCTCATCGCCATTGACACCAGCATCTGAAGACCTCCCAAGTATTTAAAAATAGAACTAACAATAACTTCCTTCCTTCCGACTGATTGACCTACCTACCTAATCTGTAGGAAAAAATGGCATTCAGGTATGAACATGTTTAAACATGAACGTTAATAATATGCACAGGAAAAAAACCCTCCCTGTTTTGCTTTTCTTATCACATATCGTGATCCAGAAAGAAATTTTCTCCTACTCCCAAAGCCTCAGTATCTGAGCATAGCTCAGTCAACCACAGGACCTAATCCAAGGCTCACTGAAGTCATCCGAAAGATTCATACTGACGCTTATGGTCTTTGAAGCAGGCTCATAATCTCTTTCTGGGCTATGTGCACAGCTAGCAATAAATATCTAAGGGCTAAGGATCGATTAGCACAGTGTTTCTCAAACTGTGCTCCGCGGAGCCCCAGGGCTCTGCGAGATATCTCCAGGGGTTCCACGAGGTTGACAAACTGGAAACATTGATAACTACAACACATACAATCAGTGAACCGCTGGGGCTCCACAAAAGTACAACACATACAATCAGTGGACTGCTGGGGCTCCGCATAATTTTTTATGCATGTAAAGGGCTCTGGAGCCCAAAAAGTTTGAGAACCACTGGATTAGCACAATCTTTGGATATTCACTGTGCTTTGATTGCCTAGTTCCTGCTTTTTATTAAGCTGTTTTGCAACTGGAAAGGATATGAGTGAAGGCTGATGGCAAATGGTGTCTTGTTAACCACTTCTAGATGGCTAGAGAGACTTTCTGTGAGTAAAATGTGGGGACAAACCTGCTTCAAGAGCCCTGTACCTCTTGTCATTTAACAGAGTACTTGGCTTGTGTTTCTAGAAAAAATTAAATGTTAGATTGTGTGTGACCAGGCGTCTGGTGTAAAAGACTGAAGGGAATGACAGAGGGTAGAGATCTTGATAGGAGATAGTTAAGATACTTTTAATCAGTGATATGTAATATTTCTGGTAGGTTATTTGGATAGCAGTGTCTATAACTACAAAAGCACCAGAAACAGCATCTATGTAATGGGAGAAGGGGCATCACACAAGTATGCAGGATAGAACCTGCTACTAACCTTAGATGTTAAAATCATGGAAGTTGCACTGGCTCTTCTAATAGATAAGTGAGGAATGTGATACTCTTGAAGGATATGGTTTTCAGATCATACTACAGCTCTTAAATTAAAGAGGTGGAGTTTCTCTGAAGCAGAGCAAGAATGTCCATATCATTGTTTCAATAGACTTTGTGGTCTGCTCCCTGCATGGTGTGTTCACCCTTCTCTCTTTCCCCTCTACTACCTGAAGAGTTTTGTGGAAGCCAAGCAGCATTTTCCTAATTCCTGATTCCAAATACATGACTACATATACTTATTTCCACTCTTGTTTCATTATTTTCTGTCTGTAGAATTGCCAGTAAAATATGCTTCTGTTCGAAAGACTGAGCCACAAACAGATAGCTATTTTTAAACTAGCCACATTATCCTCCAGCTCCATTCTGCTGCCAGAGCTACACAAAGTGTGACAGTGGTTAGGCAAGTGGTGTGTTGTGACTGCTGCTTATCACGCTGTTCCTAAGGGTCTGTCTGTTACATTGTGCTTGCTTCACCTATTCGTAGTGTCTATTTATTGTCTCTTGTCTTCTATTTAGACTGTAGGTTCTATGGAGTTGGAAGTGTTTCTGTGTATTTGTACTGCATGTGGCATAATGGAAGTGGGACTTCCGGGTTCTACTGAAATACAAGTAATAAGTTACAGGAGCGATCTGACAAATGTGAATCTATTTGCTGTTTGGAACAGATTTTTGTTTTGTTCAAACCGATGTTTCTAATTCTATCAAAGTCAGATATTGTATTCTGATTTATCTGCTCATTCCTTTTCTACAGCTCATTCAAGTCAGCATGGACTGCAGGTTCCTCTTCACTTGCTCTAGCTGTCAGAATGATGACCACTCACAGCTCACATTTTTCATGCCATCCTGCTCGGTGCAAATATGCAGGAGAAAGCATTCTCCTCCAAGCCCCTCTGCTGTGTAGTCTGCTGCAGCCACTGGCTCCACAGCCCTTATGCAGCCTTCTTGTGAAGGAGGAAATAGGAAAATCTGCTCAGCGGTGAGATCTCATGTCATCTGTGTGCCCATAGAGCTAAGCTCTGTGTCACAAGAAGGTTCACATGTCTATGCAGCCTCCCACGCCATTTACTAGAACTGGCATTGGTTCCTTTGCCAGTGGAGCTTCTGCATCTATTGAGATTGGAGCTGGAATTTGGCCTCGATGCAGAAAAAGACTATAATAACGGCCATACTGGGTCAGACCAAAGGTCCATCTAGCCCAGTATCCTGTCTGCCAACAGTGCCCAATGCCAGATGCCCCAGAGGGAGGGATCACAACAGGTAATCCTCACACGACCCCTCCCGTCACCCATTTTTAGACAAACAGAGGCTAGGGACACCTACCCATCCTGGCTAATTAGATGATCAGGTTTTGCCCTGAGGTACATGTATTCACCTGCTCATGTCAGTACAGATCTGGCCTGTCTTATTTGATGGGAACATCACTAGCAATCCACATTGCTAGATAACAAAAATATAGTATTTTCCTCAAATTTTAATATGCAAAGAAAATATACTCACATTAACCCACTGGTTAAATCCAGCTGCTTCTGACAGAGAAGACAACTCCTGCTCCAATAAAGAGAAGAATAAATATAGAGGCTATAGACATCATAACCTACATAAGTGGCTTGGTTTTCAGAGGTAATGAGCATTAACAGCTGATATTACAATCTGTGGTGACACAGAATGTCTGTCCAGGATGTTATTACACGGAGATACAGATTCAGTAGGCATGAATGAGAATGGTGGTAATTCTATCATCAGCAATAAAATAGTAAAATTTTTCTAATACAAGTTGAAACTCTCTAAACCCCTGTGGACCGGTCTGGCACTGAGCTAGAGAATTTGCTGGTCCATGGGAGGTCAATATTTTCAAGCAGAATTACTAATATTTCCACTGCTTACTGGGCATGTAGGGGTAAATTAGAGCTAAATAACAGTACAGAACACTGAAAGCCTGGACTGGTGGCTGAAAACAAACTTTATGGGACCACAGGAAACTAGGCCACACCCATGATGAGTGAACATCCAGTTAACTAAAATCATGCCAGACCACAGATGTTGCCGGACCAGACTGTGCCAGACTAGAGAGGTTCAACCAGTAGCATGGCACTCTTTGGTTTCAGTGGGAGTTATGAAATCTCAGCTCTGTAAATCACGCCACCTAATGCCTAAATATGCATGTAGATGTCTAAGTCTGGGCTAAACATTTTACTTCTAGCACAAATCTTGGTTTAAGTCAATTCCAAATAATTCAAAAGAGAGTTCTGTAACTGTGCAGATTTTACAGCACTAAGAAGAGTCATTCTTTACACAGAAAGGCCTTCTTAATATTAACTGTAGTGAAGCTAGTGCTTAATAAATAATAACAATAATAATAATAATAATAATAAAAATAAAAGACCTGTCCATTTTTGAAGTTTTCTTTTTTTGTAGTAAAGGATGGACCTCCCTGGTTTGGCACCCTCAGGACCTGACTGGTTTTGGATGAGGGGTTTTGCTGGACCAGGTGAGGTCATTTCTGGCCCTTGGCACCCTCCTCCCCAGCCCTGGCCCAGCCACCAGCTTCCCAGCTGGCTCCACCACCCTGCCAACCCAGCTGGCAGCTGCTGTTACTGTGGCTTTGAGCCCCACCAGGCAACCATCATTGCTACGGTTCCCAGCCCTGCCAGGCAGTCATGTGCCGGGTCTCCCCCCACATGGCTCCCTGCTGCAGGCCCTCCACCAGGACTCTCATGGATGCTTCTGGACCAGAGAGTCCCAGTTTAGAGAGTTTCAACCTGTATTGATAGTAACTGGAAATCCTTAAGGGTAATTTTCAGAAAATGGGGCTTTTTAGTAGTTGAAGTGTATTGTAGTTCTACCCTCCCCCCTCCAAAACTATTCTGCTGTTCAGTTATGATTCCTCATTCCAATGCAACATGTTCTCTGCAGACCTTCATCTTGGGTGTAATTCAGGGGTGGGGAACCTCAGGCCCAGGGGCCAGATGCGATCTTTGGCTTGCCTGGATCCGGCCCCCAAAGCGCATGCCCCCCCCATTGGGGAGCCTGCATTGGTGTTCCAGACCCCCTACTGGTTCCCCCTGGGGCTGGAGCACACAAAATCTATGCCAAGCTCTGGTGTGTGAGGGGAATGTGGGGAGTGTCTTTCTCCTTCTCAGTAGGTGGCCATAGTGAGGGTTTTTTTTCTGCTTCTCACGTGTGTGCAGCCCCCGGATGATCTTTCTGTGGGTCAGCGGCCCCCGACTCAAAAAAGGTTCCCCACCCCTGATTTAACGCTACCCCCTATAAAGAATTCTGACAGAATTTTAAGTCTTTTTATATGTTCATTTGTGTTGCCATTTCCAAGCAATGCGAAAGGTTGCAAAATTAATCTGACATTATAAGTTCATTGGCAAACCTGACTTTAGGTTCTGTAGTGGATTTGGTTTCTGTTCATTTCAGGGCTGAGACTGGATGCAGATTAGGTGCTATAAATGGGAATGCCAATATCAGTTACTTACTGCTGCTGTTTCTTTTTAAAAGATAAAATGGAGACACACCTTTTCTCTTTCTATGCAGTTAAATAAGAAGTTAAAAAATTACCTTCTTCAATAAATGGCCTGTTTTATTTTTCTATTTTAATGGTGAGAAATCTCTCTCTAATCAAAACTGACAGGCCAGACCAGGGGTCAGTAACCTTTCCAAAGTGGCGTGCCAAGATTTAACCCTCCTGCCTTGGGCTGTGCTCCTCTCCCAGGAAGAGGGGAGGGGCTCTCTCCACTGTGCACCCCACTTGGTCTCCTGTCCTGGGCTCCGCTCCGGCTTTTCCTGTGGGGAGGGGAGGAGCAGCACACGTACTTCCCCGCAAGTTGGATCCAGCATGGAGCCTCAGGGCTTCCCCCACCACAGGAAGCTGGCACTGGCTCCAATCTTGGCGGGGGAGGGGTGTAATGCTGAATTGCCAGGATGGGCTCCCCATTGTGGGTGGGGGGAGGAAAGGAGAGCCTGTTCAATGCGCAAGCCACTGAAAATCATCTTGCGTGCCACTTATGGCATGTATGCTGTACGTTGCTGACCCGTGGGCCAGACTTTCACGTAAGCAGGGCATCCACAGAGCTCCGTGACTTCAGTTGGAGTTTATGAAAATGTATGAAAGTTAGACTATCGTGTTGCTATTTTCAGAGGCTTAATGAAATTAGATGCCCAAATTCCTTAGGCCCCTTGGAAAGTCTTAGCCTCATTCTTCAAACACGCTGTCTCATTTCTGGGGTTTGCAAGAACACTGTCTGCAGTCAGCATTGTAGTACATTGCTCATTTCTATGGTTGTTCAGAAGTTACTGCATTGTCTCCCTAGCCAACATCACTGAAAGAATTTGAAGCTGAATTTGCCCCAAGACAAAGGACCACTATTTATACTTACATGTGCTGCACTTCCATAGCATATGATGCCATCTCCTTCAAAGCCCTTTGGACACACACAGTCCCAGACACCAGATGACACAAACTGACACGTAGCCTTTAAAAAAGGAGGGAGAGAAGATTTAATCATTCCAAGAGTGGGGGATACCAGAGATGTTGCTTTAATATGTTTGCGCATAATACAAGGCAATGTTGAGAGACAGCAGAGTTAAAATAACTGAAAATCCCTTCCTCGAGGCCCTGATTCAGGAAAGTATCCCTATTCTGGAAAACAATTAAGCATGTTCTTAAGTCCCACTGGAATCAATAGGACTTAAATGCTTTCCTGAATTTAAGGGGCAAGGTGAGTGAGGTAATATCTTTTACTGAACCACCTTCTGTTGCTGAGAGACTCACTAACTGAAGTTAGTCCAATAAAAGACATTAGCTTTGTTTTCCTCCCCTTAGAAAGTTTTTATTCAGAGAATTAGACAAAAATTATTTACAATTTAGATAACTAGTCTCATACTACAAATGATGAATAGCTGAGAGAACAGTTAAGCCTGGTTTACACTAGACCAGGCAGGTCAACTTAAGGTACGCCATCCAGCTACACAAAATGCATAGGTGGATTCGACTTACCTTAAACTGAGCTGCCACAGTGTCTATGCTGTTGGGAGGCCAATATGAGCACATGCTCCCATCGGCTTCCCTTACTACTCTCAGAAAGAAGAGTATAGGATGCCCATGGGGGCTGCCCTCAGCATTTGATTTGGGGGTCTACACTAGATCTGCTACATCAAATGTTAGAAGATCGACCTCTGGAGGGTTGATCTTCTCCATAGAGTAAACATGCCCTTAATGAAAAACCCATAAGTTGTTAAACAATTGAGAATTACAAAATCATGCACAACAAAGCTGTTCACAGATAATTTGGAAACAGAAACGAAAGGCTAAATTGATCAAATAATGTATTTGTAATAAATAATCCAAACAGTTTTAATTAAAAAAAATCTCTTTATACAGCACAGCATATCACATCTTGAAGACTCCTACAAAGCCTGACTCAGCAGATGTTGCTGATTTGGAGAAAAGAAATTGTAGCTAAACACACTGGGGAAAAAAGGCCATAACAAATTTTAACTCTCTCATATCAAGTTCAATTTGCTTTTCTCAGAGAGATCGTGTAAATTGCATCATATCAAACTTAGCCACCTTAGATGAGCAGACCCTCCTGCCTGGAATTTGAACCTATGGCTCCTGAGAGTCCATGCGGTGTTAGTTCTGATCATGAGACTAAGCCAAGCCCTCTTTCCTCTAGTATCTTTGAATGGGGAATGTGATAACCCTGTGAATCCTGAACTAGCTAATGTATGTAAAGCTATGTTCTATGGGGTATGGATTCAGAGTATCAGAAGCAATTTACAGCAGCAGAGAAAATTTGTTTCTGTTTTTTCATGTTGATTTGCTGATATTAAAAAAACCCCAAACAACCAAAAATAAACCAAACCAACTCTCTATGTATGACAGAGCATGGAACTCAACTTCCCAGTCTTCTTAACAGATTAAATTGTAGGAGTCACACCCAGTTCTCACTCATCCTTCCGTCAGGGAAACTCTAATGAATCTTAGTGGGAAAACTGAATGGATGTCAGGGTTGATCTGAACATAGGTTGAGCCTCTCTCATCTTGGGACCTGACTGGTGCCAAACCAAAGAATTTGCCTAATCAGAGGAGGTTAATATTGCCTAGCAGCATTTCCAACACTTCCACTGCTTACTGGATTGTTAGAAAACATTTAGGAGTAAAATAGGATGTGTCTAAACTACATCCCTTTTTCGATAAAGGGATGTAAATTAGACATATTGAAATTGTAAATGAAGCTGGGATTTGAATTTCCTGTGCTTCATTAGCATAATGGCGACCGTGGCTTTTTTTTTGGAAATGCTGCTTTTCCCCCCCCAAAAAATCAACCCAAACCCACGGTCAAGATGGGGATTTTTCGACAGAAATGTCCTGTTTTGAAAGATCCTGTAACCCTCAAAAAATGAGGATCTTTCAAAAAAGCCTGCAGTTTTCGAAAACTACATCTAGACCATAGTTTTACTTTCAAAATGGCGCTTTTTTGAAAGAGCGCATTATGCAATAATGCAAATGAAGCGCAGGATATTTAAATCCCCGCTTCATTTGCATTGTAGTCTAGCTGAGTCTTAAGAGCCAGGACTGGTGGCTGTAAACAAACTTTATGGGACCATGAGAAACTTGGCCACATCCATGATAAATGGACATCCTGCTAACTAAAATCATGCTGGACCACGGATGCTGCCAGACCAGAGAGTGCTGGACTAGAGAAGTTCAACTTGTATCAGCAATCACTTCTCCTGACACTAACAGACATTTTGGAGCACTTAATTCAGCTTTAAAAATCCAATCACATGACTCTGACACATTAGTTCTAGTGAGATTCCACTCATTTTAGACATCCATGGTAGAAATATTATTCACTTGATGCATACAGTAAAAGAAATGTAATTTGAATATTTTTTTCAGAGAATAATTAACTCACCAGATAATGGCACTTTCCATTTTGTTCCAAACAAGAGTTTATTGGTTCACATTCAATTCCATTCCCTCGAAATCCTTCCTTACATTCACAGTCATTCTATCATTTCAACAAAAACAAGGCAATAAGTAAAATGATTAAAACACTGCAAGTCTTCTAAATACTATGGATCAGATTTCCAGATGGTATTGTCCACAAAGCTTCATTGACTCGAGAGACATGACACCAATTACCCCAGCTGCAAATCTGTCCTTTTGTATTTTAAACCTATGAATGGGTGTGTGCTGAAATGCTCAACCTGCTGTTGCATGTCCAATGTTAATACCTGTAAGCGGATGCTCAACACATGGTGGAGCAGAGGCACGTGATCTTTTGACAGCATTCATGAGAAGGGAGTGGTTTCAGTGTGTCTCGCTTGGTTGTTTAAAAGAATTAGTGATTGAAAAACTGTACACATGAATGCTCTAGAAATATCTTACCAAGATAATTGGCATTCATGGTTTGTGGACAGATTTTTTTTAAATTCTTGAATAGTTGTAAATAACTAAAGAATAATGTACAGTCCCTTTCAATAGAGGATTAATATGGATGTGGGTTTTTTTCAGAAGACATGATTTAAAACAAAGAGAAGGGGAGTCACGTGGAATATAAGAACACAGGATTCAAAGGGATCTTGTGCATCATCAATTCCTGTCTTCTGCTATGGCAGTCAATCCCCTCATATGACCCCTTCGTAAATTTACCAAGATCCAACCGATAACCACTTAGTTTATTGCCTTTACTCTTATCAGATGTTGGGAGGCTGTTCCAGGTACTTCGAGTTGCATGGACGAGGGCACATAAAGGGAGTGGGAGAAGATGCAGATGGTAACAATTAGGAAGCAAACTTGGGCAGAACAGAATGAGTTACAGATTGTGCAGGAAAATATGAGCAAAACTTACCTGACCTGGCCCTATGTATATGCAGGTAGCATTGTCATGGCACCCTCCAAAATTTGGTAGCAGACAATTGTTGATCTCTGAGCAATCTCTTCCATTCCCACTCCATCCTGGCTGGCACACACAGTTGTGAGTTCCAAGGCCTGTTTTAATACATTCTGCCTGTAGGGGCATGTCAGAGTAAACAAATTTAATTGACACCATCCACCATCATAAAATGGACAGCTTGGAAAAAGACATGCTGGAGAGAGAGAGAGAGTTTTGGCTATGACACTAGAGAACCAAACCCTATTTTTTCGCCTTTAATATTTTAATAGATTTTTTTTTTAGTGCTGGTGAATAGTACTAGGCTTAGAGTCCTTGAGTTTGACAGCCCCTTTATCCACAGGAGGCAGTGGCTGGCAGTGAAATGTTTCCCCCTCAGTGCTGAGTAACTGTGTCTCAATTCTGACTTGGAGGAGAGGAGGGACCATCTTTAGAAGGTGTGAAGGTCTGGATTGACCAAGTCAAATCTTTGATGGTTGCACTAATGCAATCAGAAAAAATGCTAATTAATGCTAGCCAATGGGGGTGTTATTTTGAGGTTACCTGTGCACTACTAACTATAATGCAGCTAGCAACTTATTTCACATAGGCTTCCAAACAGTCATCTGATAATGAACTTGATCTGAGTTTAATCTGACAATTTAAACAATGGATTTTAAAAGAATTTTCACTACTTAATCCCTTGTGCTAGTTATGGGCTTTCTTGTGGTAGATGCTGATTTGCCATCTCTAAAGAGGGAAAAGATCCCTCGGTGCCAAAGGGAAGCTAACTTCATAATGGAATAGGAGGGCATAGAGGTGGAGAGAAATTTCTACTGCTTTGAAGGAATATTTTTTCTTTGTGTTATATTAAGTACGTCACAGAACTCTCTCAAAAAGCTGTGTGCTGTCCCTTTTTGGGCATGACTGCTGAAGTCATTGCAATATTCATAGCAAAGCAATTACGAAGGTAAGAATTTTAACCATGGGAAGGATTTGAATTTAGTTGGGAAATTCAGAATTTATGTATGCAAATGTATCTTCCTGGTATTCCTAGCTTTTCTTTAGATTTCCTCTAAACTAAGCAACCCATGCTGTAAGAAATCATATACTTACATTGGTATCACAACCACTTTGAATTAAACTAGCACAAGGATCTACTTCACTGCAGGTTGTTCCATCTCCCTCATATCCAGGTTTACAAACACAGCTATAAAAAAAGGTTTTTATTAAATCACTTTGCATTATAAGGCACTGGTAAAATTAGAACTGATTTTTGATACTATTTTTCCTATATCATATTGTCTAAATTTCAGGCTGATTAAAATAACAGTGTTGGATTAATTATGCAAGCCACTATAGTGTTAGTTTGTTTCCAGACATAGGATCATGTAATATAATGAAAATATATGGGAGCTAATTTGTATTTGGATATGAAATAGGAAATAAAACATATCCTGATTTTACCCTCTACCTAAATTATAGTCCCAATAAAAGAGTGAACTTAAAAGTTGGAGTAGAGTACAAACAAGAAAAGCCTTTTCCTTCAGTGGCATGGAAGATACACCATTTCTAGTATGTGCATGGTTAAGAGTGAACATCAGAAAAGCATACTGCCCAAACTTTGCAAAAGCACTGAAGTCCCAGTTTTAAAAGTGACTGGTATTTAGCTTGTTTCTTTGCAAATAAATGAATTTAGGACTTTGAGACATTTGGGCACTTTGAAAATGGTACGTAGGGCCTAAATGACTTTGATATTTTTTACTGTTCGCTTCTCCCTTCTGCAATTTTACAAGCTAAAACATATTGATCTTTAGATCTGAAAAATCTATGTATAATGTGTAAAAATGAGCACAGAACTCAGATTCAAACTGCTGAAGTTTAATCTCTGCTCTGCAGTTGACTCACTGTATGACTGTGAATAAGTCATGCTTCTGTTTCTCTCCCTATAAAATGAAAAGAATGTGCACATACCGCCTCCTGGTATTATAAAGGTAATATTTGTACAGTAGCGTGAAGTGTTACCTTGAAAAAGAAAATACCAATCCTATAGTTTGATTTCAAAAATGGCGACTGGCCGGGAAGATGCAAATCAAGCGTGGGACATTTAAATCCCGGGCTTGATTTGCAACTTTTAATGCCAACATTAGCCTCCCTAGTTCGAACTAGGGGGCTAGTGTAGACGTACTTACATCTAATCAATATTAGGGTAACTGACCTACCTCATGGCACCATCAGAAAGCTGACAATTTGCATGTGCATGACAGAATTGTACAAAAGACCCACAGGGAACTATCTGCTTATCACAGAGTTTCCCAGCATATCCACTTTTGCATGATCCAGCAAGGCAGATTCCATCACTGTCTATTCTGTTATCACACTTCCCATAAACACACAAACATTCTGAGGGGGGAAAAATAAAAATGTGAAATGAAACAATTGAAAAACAATTATCCCTATTCAACATTTCTTAAATATTTCATATTAGATCTTTCTAAACTCTAAACACCTGAAAAAAAATCTAAATAAAAAAAATCATTGTGGCATTCATTTATTTTTAAATATCGCCTTTAAGGGTGATGAGGCAGGATAGTCTTCATATTTTTATAGCACACTGAAATTTAAAGTTATCCATAGAAGCTGGTAAAACAGGCCCCAAACATCATGTCTTGGATTGAAAAGATTTAACGGGTTGCATTTAAAACAGATCAAACAAAATTATTAAACGTTCACAAACTGAGACTCTGATCCTGTCAGAATGGTATCCACATGCTTAACTTTATTGCTTTGTTGAACTGCTAGGAATGCAAAAAGATAAGCAAATATGTCTGAATTTTTCAGGATCACAGCTCAAAAAGATCTTTAATACTCTATTTTTTAAGAGGATCTGTGCTTCAACCTCTGCCCTCACATCATCTTATATGGAAGTCCTAGTGGCTTCTTAGGCTATTTCTACACTGGGATAAAAATACAATGGCTGTCCAGGTCAGCTGACTCAGGCTATAGGGCTAGAAATTGATGTGTAGACATTCAGGCTAAGACTGTTGAGCTTCAGCTCTATCCTGAACAGCAACACTGCAAGTGTCAGCCCCACAGGCTGAGCCTGAGTCAGCTGACCTTGGATAGCTGCATAATTGTTATTTCTGTGTGGATATAGCCTGAATCTTTAGGGGAAGGTGCTTTTTGCATATGGTAGTCAAAAAGCCATGGATAACTATATCACTTAGGCTGTGTCTACACTGGCACGATCTTGTGCAAAAGCGGCCACTCTTGTGCAAAAACTTGTTGCCTGTCTATACTGGCCACATGTTCTTGCGCAAGTAAACTGACATTCTAATGTATGAAATCAGGGCTTCTTGCGCCAGAAGTCTCCTGCTTTGGAATAAGCCCTTTTGCGCAACTATTGTTGCGCAAGAGGTCAGTGTAGATGGGCAACATGAATTTCTTGCACAAGAAAGCCCTATGGTTAAAATGGCCATCAGAGCTTTGTTGCGCAAGAGAGTGTCTACACGGGCAAGGATGCTCTTGCGCAAAAGCACATGCCAGTGTAGACGCTCTCTTGCACAACTACTTTAACGTAAGAACTCTTGTGCTAAAGAGTTTTTGCGCAAGATCACGCCAGTGTAGACGTAGCCTTACAGACACAAGATGATGAAAACTGTATGAAATCAGTTCAGCTCAAAGGCCTTCTACAGAGAGTATACCACTATTAGCTCGTATTGTAACACCAGTAACCTTTTAGAAGGCAATAGGTTAGCCGCCCAGTAGAGCAGGGTGCAGCTATACTTACGTCTATCACACCGAGGGCCAAATTTATTAGGGTCTGAACAGAACTGACAATGGGATCCTTGAAATCCATCAGTACAAATACAAGTTCCATTTCCTTTCATTCCATCCATACACTGCAACATAGAAGATACAGGATTTATATTAACACCAGTTGCCCTAGGGATGGAGCAGGCTTCGGCATTAGGCAGGCAGGATAAGGGATGCCCTGAAGGCAGGGTGATGGGATGGCTTCTGGAGTGGCCCAGTGGATAGGGCATTTGCCTGGGGAGCACACAGAGTGGCTGGCTCAAGTCCCATCTCCCGACCTGCCCACAGAGGTAGCCAGTGGGGGCACTAACACCAGCCACCCCAGGGATGGAGCAGGCCTTGGTCCCAGCAAGGCAGCATAGGGATGCCCTGGAGAGGCCCAGTGGATAGGTCACATATATAATGTTAATAAAACTCCCCCCCTTTTTTTACTCCTTAGGGGAAAAGTTGCATACTGACTTGGTCTTGTCTATACCATGTTAGTAACAGCATCCTCTTTAAATGCAAGAAGAACCTCAACATCGTGATAAAATATTTGTTTCTTGTGGAAATTTTCTCCCAGTGCTTGTTTCTTCCCTACTCCCGTAGCCCATAATTCCATTCTCTTTCTCAATTTTAAAGTTAAAATGATTACTTTTATTTGTAGTTTTTGCCTCAGACAACCCTGGCCACGAGAGTGGGTCACTTAAAATCCAAACAAACCCAATGCAGTGTATTAAAACCACAGAATTGTATGTTTTAGAAAGCTGAGGGATTCCACCGTCTTTCCCCTTCTACATCAGGGCCTTTGACTCCCATACTGCCAACGAAAACTGTGTGCCTCTTGCAATACTATTCACATTTGTTAGTGCTAAGGAATGAAGAGACTCTAAACATTTCTCAACTCAGCCTGCCCCTACCCCCAAATGGAAGTGTAATATGCTGCTGGTTTCTCCATGTACCTGTCCATTTCCTGAGCAGGGTTTGGAAAAACCTCCTGGACACTGATTGCAGTCTGGCCCAGAGAAGCCATTGCAACACTTAGGCTCCTGTGAAGTAAAACACATACTACTGTATGGCATGCAAAATAACACTTTAGTTTTCCCAGCTGCAGGCTTGAGGGACAGACCAATCATTCAGGGCTAGACAGGTTTAGACAGTGCTATTTCAGCACAACTCAGCACTGTGGTTGAGCTAGAGCAACACTGTCCTAGCATCAATGTTCCTTCTAATTTTTTCTATCTGTGTGCAGAATACATTTTATGTGCACTGAGACATGTGCAGATTTGCAACCAGTCATAGAAATACATGCTGCTGGCTGTGGGCAGCTGTGGGCACTCTGCTAATCAGCTGGGTAGCACTTGAATCTCTCCTGTGTAGCCACCCAAGCACTCAGCTTACAAGGAACACTGCCTAGCATCAGCTGCAACCTGTCTCCCAAAGCTTCTTAGTGCATATAATGGGGCAAACCAGGCCCTGTGGCTAGAAAGGGCCATAGAGAAGTCCTCCAGGCCTTCTAGAGAGGCTGGGGAGGGGCAAGACCAGCCAATTGGGGGCCAGGAAAGACTACATGTGAGGCTACCGCACCCGAGTCAGTGCAGTTGCAGCCCAGACCTGGAAAGGAAGAGGTTGGGGTGGCTAGCTGGCTGGAAGAACCAGGGACAGCTCCTAGGGGAGAGCTGTTGAGAGACTGATGGACTTGAAGGAAACCCCTGAGCCAAGGGCAAAAGAGTTGACTCCTTCAGAGTGAGGCAACAAATAGTAGAAATGGCATAGAACTGAGAGCCACTCTACAGAGGGGACAAGAGTGGGCCACTGAGAGGTGTATCCCGGAATGGATTGTGATTTCACACTGGAGGGCTGAGTAGCCAAAAGGGCTGAAGACTGAGGCAGTGCAGGTACACGCACTCAGCCAAATGGGGCTGCTCGCAGGAGGCGAGTGCCACCACATTACAGTTCATGATGCAATGAACAAACTGTTACACACATGTAAGCTTGATGGCCATATGGAGAAGGGGCTCTGAAACAGACAACAGTCTGAGGTGCTGTACACCCAAACGGGGAGTGCTTGTACTCTGAAATCAGGGACTGCAATTCTGCTTGGCCCAGATACTGAGGTGTACATGTCTTATTTCCTCTTCACCTGCTTCACCACCAATGGGCACCCACATCAGGCCTAGCTATAACCTAGCTAAATAATTATTTTCTGTATCAAATTTTTTATTCAGGAAGGGGGTTGTTACGCTGATTCATGAATATAAAGGCATGGAATATGTGGTGGAGAGAGCTTATAGGTTTGGCTAATTCATTGGGAACCATGGGGCCAAAGGCCTCTCTTGGCTTAGAGATTTGCAGGCACCTAATATATATGATTAAATCCAGAAACCTAAATAGAAAGGAAAAAAAAAAAAAAGAAACGTGGAAAATTAACATTACTGAATTGTGATTGACAATTTTGTAAGGACTAGACCTATGCACAGGAGGCAAAATGGAGTAAAATCCTTGCAAGTGTTTGGCGATTCACTGCCACTGAACAGCACATAAAGTCTTGGAAGAATAACATATACAGCTAGTGTTGCTAATTGTCAAACTGTGCAGTCATTTATAGAAGCGGCCATACAAATCAATGAAAAGTGTTTGGGTGGTGTTGAGTTTAACAAGAACGAAAACCTGAGTTATATAAGAAAGTTCTGAACAGAAACGTGTGGCAACTACAAAGCATAATCAGAAAAGCAGAGGGAAGAATCAGTAGCGGAGCTATGTGTCTGGTCGGTCCTTTAGCTCAAGAGCTATGATAAGGGAGACCTCTAGATGCTGCACACATTCAAAAGTAAAATTAGCAAAGGCCAACAGCAATATCTGGGCTGATTTCTATATGAAACTTGTGTAATTTCTTACCTTTATTGTTACATTGCAGTACCTGGCGCAGCCGGCTGTTGGATAGGACAGGGCTTCATAAACACATCGACGTCTTGAAAAAGCCTAGCACATGAACATATTTCTATGTAGATATTCAAGACTGCAATACAGGTTGAACCTCTCTGGTCTGACACCCTTGGGACCTGACTGGTGCCAAACTAGAGAATATGCCGAACCACAGGAAGTTAATATTGTCTAGCAGCATTACCAACACTTCTACTGATTACTGGGCTCTTCGAAGACATTTAGGGATAAATTAGAGCTAAATAACAGCACAAAACATTGAAAGCCAGGACTGGTGGCTGAAAACAAACTTTATGGGACCACAGGAAACTTGGCCACACCCATGATGAGACAACCTGGCTAACTAAAATCATGCCAAACCACGGATGTTGCAAGACCAGAAAGTGTCAGACTAGAGAGAGTCAACTGTATGACCAAAATGTTAGGGAATAATGTAATTGAAGAATAGAAAATTGTTTATTTTTTCTACTGATACTTAAAAGAATATTTTGAGTTTTATTATAACATGTATTTTCCTGATTTTTTAAAAAATCTGTGTTTGCATCTCTACTATATTGTGCATGGTCTAGAGTAGTGAATATAAGCAAATTCCGATCTATGCACGACACAATTTCTTGACAGCAGTATTTGAGTTTTGTACACAGAGAAAAAACACCACCAGAAATGATTAGTGCTTTTAAAGACAAAACAGATGAAGGTTTTCAACTGATTCCAAAGAATGTGTATGTTAATTATTATTACTATTATTGAGAATAGTAATGATCATATTTATTGTGGCAGTGTCTAAGGGACCAATCAATAGAGGGATCTCATTGTGCACACAGTAATAGAAGATCCCTGCCTCAAAAAGTTTCCAGTCTAATTTGACAAGACAGACGTAAAGTGGGGAAAGGGGAAGAATGCAGGGTGAACAACATGTTGACAGAAAATATCATGTTAGTTCCCTGATATTTTGAGGGGAATGGGTTTACTTTGGAAGGAATCAGCTAAGTGGGTGGGAAAGGAGGGATGAGAGGGACAGGGCTGGTGAGCAGAAAGCAATAGGAGCAGGAATGAAGAAAGAGGGTTAGAGCAAACAGCCAATCACCATAGGACAGAGAACAGCCAGTCAAAACTAAAGAGGTCACTGCTATGACTCCTGGCCCTACCAACCAGAGTCGCTGATAAGAAGGGAGATACCACATTGGTACTAGTGCTCTCAGGGTATGTGCACATGTCTACTGTGTGCAGTTTTTGGTCCATTCAATTGCTGTGCCTCATTTTATCCCTTTCCCCCTTATAGGGTGCCCACACTGCCATTGTGGCAATTCTTGTGTCCACACTGCCACTGAGTTCTTTCAACAGAAAGTCAAAAAAACTGAGGGGGTTTTCCAACGGTGGTAAACCTCTTCCTATAAGGAAGAAGACTTTTTCCGAAAAAGCTTTTTCAGAAAAAGGCGTGTGTGGATGCAGAAGATAGAGTTCTTTCAAAAGAAGAGGCCTCCAGGAAATAATACAGGTGCCTTGTTGGCCACTCTGTCCAGAGTAATCACAACTTAAATGCGAGAGAGCGCCCAGTCAATGTGGACACTATCTTTCGAAAAAGCAGACTGCTTTTTCATTGCGCTTTTGCTATGTGGACGTTCTCTTTCGAAATAAGCTTTTCCGGAAGATCTCTTTTAGAAAAGCTTCTTTCGAAATAAGCCTGCAGTCTAGATGTAGCCATAGCTATAGTTCCTGCTTGGGGAATTTCTGCTCCTAGTACCGGCTGCGTTCCTTGGTGCACCTTTCCCACCCAATCCCAAACTTTTCAACTCCTGTTGTGACATGGACAAGTGAAGGGTAAGTGTCAGCATATGTACTGCATGTGGCATTGGCTCTTTGGAGAGAAGCAAAGCATTATGTTTGTGGCCGAGTTGCTCAAGTACAGCAGTGATGGCTACTTGTACAAAACTTTGAGGCTGCTAACTCCCAGTAAGATGAATATTACTGTTTTCCCAAAATGCCCAGTAGAAGAACTTAGTTATTGTTTGTATAAAATAAATTCTTTAAACAATATTATAAACTTTTTGGCAATATCTATATAGGAAGTTTACTTACTATAGGCTTTGAGTTCCCTGGGCAAGCGCTTCTGTAGAAAATGGAACATTTTACACAGGTTCCCTGAATGGAGACAGTACAAAAATCACATTTTAGGAAGGCTACAGTGATCTCTGATAAACTTAATTCAGTTATGCCAAGAATCACAGAACTAAGCAATAGCACCAGAACTGGGAATTCTGCCTCATCAAATCTCTAATAAACATTAATTTTATCTTTTTATGCTTCCACCTGCCTCCTTTTCCCATCTTCTTGACCTTTTCCAATTCCTTCCCTTCCTGAATGCTTTTGCTTTATCACCCTTTTCTTATCACCTTTTAGCTCACTATCACACATGGTCAATTTAGGGCTGCGTGACAATGACAGAGACAAAAAAGCTACAGCAGTAATGAGATGATTTAGAATTAACTGCCAGGTTTAAAGATGAGCAGTCATAAAAACTCAACATCTAATAGTTAAGGAAGCTGTGTGAATATCTGAGTTTTTGCTTCGCTGACCAAACCCATACAAGTATTTAATAATAAACACATTTTGGGTTGACCTAAAACAATGGTTTAAACATTGTCGAGGAACCAGAAAAATCTAAAATATTTTGTTCTTGAGGTTTTCTGACTTTTCGAAAATTAAAAATGAAGTGAAATTCAAAACTAAAGGTCATTTCAAATTGAAGAACAAACTTTTTTTGAAAAATGTAGAAATGTTTATAGCCCTTTAAAATGTTTTTAAATCAAAATAGCTTAGCAAATTGTTATACAAATTCATCAAATGTTTCAGTGGATACTGAATCTTCACTTTTTATTGAAAATTTCATCCAAAAATGTTCAACCAGCTTTAATTGGTCTTGTTGAGGATATAGAGTTTGTCAAAGTTTGAAAATGGTTCTCCAGTTCCTGCTTGGATTAGACTTCTCACCACTGATGATGTTTCCTCCCCATCCCCAGTCTCAGAAGGAAATTGGAATAATCTGAGTGATTGACAAAGATGTTTCATGATTTCCATAATGTTTAAGAGCCTGATCTGCAGTATTTATGTCCACAGATTTTTCATGGGAGACTGTGGGAATTTTATTTGTGAAAGAACTGAGAATCAAGCCTTAGACTGTTCCATGTTTTGGATTTCCACATCTCCGATGTTCTACAATGTACACAGGATCAGATATATAAAGGTATTCAGGCACTTCAAGATGCAGATAGGTGTCTAGTAGGAACTTTTGAAAACAATCACATGTGATTTAGATCCCCAATACACTGAGAATCAATGGGATTTAGGCACCCTATCTGTTTAGGAGTTTCTGAAAATCTCATTAATCCCTTATCTTTGTAAATCTGGCCCACAGTTATTTGGAATATACAATTCTTTCTAATGGTTCCAATATTTCCACTATTCATTGTCACACAAGTCACTTAATTACTCACTTTCCTGGATAGGGATTTGTCTTTGTTACAGGCCCAGACTTGGCTAACATGTCCTCCCTTGATGCTGACAATGCTGTTGATTTGCACAACCTACATGCTTTCTGAAATGCATGAAGTAACACTTCCATGGTTCATTTTGGCTCTTATATTAAAGTATTCCAGTTAGTGACTAGAATAGCACTGGAAGGTCACTGTGGGTTATTTGAATACTTTGAAGCCTGGAATACTTACTAGAAGCGTGACTCATGATATTGTTCTAGAACTGGACGATTTGTTTTTTGTAAATACAGATTTGGGTTGAACAAAACATTTCAGGAATTAACGTTAGCTTTGGCAAATTATTTCAGGCAGGAAACAAACAAATAGAAATGCTGAAAGTGTAAATTTTTCATGTAAACATTTTTTAAATGAAGAGTTTCTCTTTTCACTTTGAATTTTACCAGATTTTCTTTTAGAAAAAGGTTAAACGACTTCATTTTGGCGTGAACAAAACATGTTGCTTGACCCCAAACAACTTTTATATGTATTTTTCTGTTTGACTTCTGGATAGAAACATTTCAACAGGTCTAATGTTACTATTATGCATGTGTTTTGTTGCTATGGTTTTGAGTTCTTATACATCTAATAATACATCTACATTATAGTGCTTTTCATCCATATATTTCATAGCACCGTATAAAGCATTATTCTTGTTTGTCAGATAGAGAAGCTAAGGTACAGAGAGATTAAGTTACGCAAGTCAATGGTAGACCAGAGTACAGAACCCAGGTATTCTGGTACCCAGTCCAAAATGCAAATATCTGCTGTGACAAAAGGTCAGCAGCTTTACATTGGGTTACTTATTTGTAACACAGAAAACATAGTCATTCAGATCTCCATCTTTAAAATGCCTATCATTTTTGCAAGCTATGTTAATCAATGCAGGAAATGAGTCCTACTCAATTGAAAAGGTTTCTTTTAAAGAACTTGAAATACTAATGTATTTTAGGTATTGCTCAATTTCCTTGCCAGGAACTGTTGTGTGGCATTGCACCTGGTTTATGATTCTGCTATACACAGGCCACTTAGTTATCATCATCTCTTGTTTTATTTAATTAAAAATGGATGTTGTTGAATTCAGCTGAGGTTTGGTTTCAGATTATGTTCTTAGATTTTCATTGTTTTGCAATATTCTTCTGTTACTATATTGTATCACTGAGTCAGAAATGTCTTTGGCCCAGATATGTACTTGAGTGTGATCCAAGAATAGATGATCGGACCAACGCTTTCATCAGACAAACAGCTTTACCTGTCAATCATTCTTCTATTGCCAAAGCCCTATAATATGCTACTCAAATGGAGTTTGTTGTGGGAAACTCAATTATTCAAAATACGTACGTTTGGTGTTTCCTAAGCTGAAGAAATAAGGTGCAAAATGGAGCACAGTCAAGTCCATCTTTTGTATTTACTTAACTGTGTTTTCTTCATGCTTCATAAAAAGAAAATGATTGATCTTAAATAGTTACCATGGGAACTGGAAGTGGCCACATACTGGTATAAGCACAAGTGGAACTCTGAGAGGGAGATGGTTTGGCTGGAAAGATAACTCATTTTAAAGGATCACTATAGAAACTGAATGAGAATACAAGGTGAGATGGGATGCGCTCATGCGAGGTTCTATCTAGCAACTGTGCAGTTTGCATGCTATATTCTCTTCAAGGCTTTGTATAGTGTCCAAAATATTACCATACATTTTTCTGATTTCTCTGATATTGCATTAAAGAGAACATTAAAATACCATGCACACAGGGCATAGTGGCTACTGTCATAAGCCTTGTTGTACTGGCTTTCCTTACCATTTTAATTTCATTCCTTTCCCCATCACATCTGTGTGGTAGAATAGGAACAATGGAGGGAGGAACAAGAACACCTGCAAGAGTGTATATTCGACCATTTTTGGCAGCAATATCTGTTTCTTCTGTTTCTTCACCATTCACCAAGATTTGTCCCTGCAGAATAAAAAAATTGAAATTATCCTTGAAAACTGCTTCCCCACTGTCTCAGAATGTTCTTGTATTGTTATTTTTAGTCACAAAATGGTTTAGCTCCTGATGCAGTTAATTGGCATCCCCTATCTTTCACATCCCAAAGGCAAATGTGTACAGGCATTTCACCTCTTCCTTTATATCTGGTCCACAAACGTAATAGCAACATCTGAGCATAAATAATTAATACTCTCCACTCTCTTGAAGTAAGAGTCTAATCAATTTCCACTGAAATCAGTGGGAGTCTTCCCATTGACTTCAGTAGGTATTGGGCTGGGTCCATAGTGTCATCGCAGTTTTACAGGTGGGAGGAAAATGAAAGAGAGAGATTGTGATATGGTCATAGGGATTCAGTGAAAGAACCAAAGCTGGAAGTAATTCTGTCCATGCTCCTTGGCACCTGAACAGCTCTCTGTTATTCTGCTTTAGTAAATTAATTATATAGATCTAATTTTCATTGATAACACACAATTTTGCCTAATTCACGTGAACAATGCAAGAAAATATGATATATTAATTAGCTTGATTTAATAAATGTCCCCACAGTATTGTTAAAAAAAATTGCACACCAAAAGCATTTTCAAGAGACTAATTTATAGTTTGCTGACTAAAAGTCTGTATCCTGAGCTAAGAATATGAAACAGCACTATTTTTTTAAAGCAAGTTAGAGATTAGACATTTATGTAAGTTTTATTTTTATTTTGTTTCCACTTATGTTCATGAGTAAACATGAGTAAACACCAGTTGAAATTGATGAGAATTTGCCTGGTGAATACCAAGTAAAAACTAAGGGCACGTCTACACAGTAGGGCTAAAGGTAAAATAAGCTATGCAACTTGAGCTATGTCAATTGTGTAGTTTAACTTGAAATAGCTTATTTCAGCTTTTGGTGCTGTCTACACAGCAGAAAGTCCAAGGTAGAGCACTCTTCCTCTGACTTCCCTTACTCCTCTCTGGGAGCAGCATAACAATCTTGCGCAAAATGGTTTTTTTGCGCAAAATGGAAGCAGCCACACTGCTTCTTTTTGTGCAGAAACCCTTTGTGCAAAAAGAAACAGCAGAAAATATGCTAATGATATTGCAATTTATGCTAACAAGGAACTCATTAGCATATTTTCTGACGCAAAAACCCGCAGTGTAGACAAAGCCTAGGAGGTTCTGCTGGGATAGCTATACTGGTATATCTGTATTGGCAAAGCCTTTCCAGTGTAGACAAGCCTGAGACTCAACAATTTGTCACTTGCTCCTAAAGTAAATGGATAAGTGTATCAGAGAGAAAAGATCACAAGTAAAAAGTTAACTTCTCTTCAACTTACATTGCTGGTTGTGTTAAAATAGATGAACTGTCTGGCCATGGTCTTGACATGCTCTATGGAGATGAGGCTAGCAACCTCCAACTGCAGTGAGTAAAAGTGATGAAAATGAACAAAGGAATGTGTGGTAAGGCTTTTGAGCCTACTGTCATACATTCGATCAGAAACAGATTATTAACAAAATTACAAGACATTATGAAAGTGCATCATGAAAAAAGGGGATGTAATCCTGCTGGGGGCTGCTCTGGTGCAGTCCAGTATCAAGGGACTCCAATCTGGGACACTATGGCTATGTCTACACTGGTGGGTTATTGCGCAAGAATGGCTGTTCTTGTGCAAGAACCCACAGAGCATCCACACTGCCTGCCCGCTCTTGTGCAAGAAGATTTACAGTACGGCGTTGGAAGACAGGGCTTCTTGCGCAAGAGCTATGCTCTTTTCTAACAAGTGTAAGCCCTCTTGCGCAAAAGGGCAGTGTGGACGCGGGGCAGGGGTTTCTTGTGCAAGAAAGCCCTATACCTAAAATGGCCATCATCAGAGCTTTCTCGCATAAGAGAGTGTCCACACTGCCATGGATGCTCTTCTGCAAAAGCACATGGCAGTGTGGATATGTTCTTGTGCAAGAGTTCTTGCACAAGAACCCTTGTGCAAGATGTTCTTGCGCAAGAACCTGCCAGTGTAGACATAGCCTCTATGTGGCCTTTATCAGGCTTATTAAGACTCTCCTCTCTAGGTTGGTACAGAGGCAGCATGGGACTCTGTTCTTCTGTTTCGATTCTGGTAGGAAAAAAACGAAAAACCAGGGAACTTGTTTAGATACAGTAAACCCTTGCCATTCACAGTGGCTGTGTTCCTGGCACCATTGTGAATGGAAAAATTCGCAAATACTGGGAGCCATGGCTCTTGGCCCCTGCGGTGAGCTCTGTGTAGCTTGTGAACTCACCACAGGGGCTGGGAGCAGCAGTAAGTTCCTCACAACTCCTGGCCCTTGTGGGGCTTCTGAACTCACCTGAGCTCCCAGCCTGGGAAGGGATGGGAGACACCCTTGAATCTACAAATCATGAGAGTCTCCAATATTGACAAACCCTCTTCTCCCAGTTTAAACCAGCAGGTGTCAATCTTAATAGCATGAGTTCAGAGTCAGATGTGCTTGTTTGAGTGACATAGATATGTTTAAGAACCTGATCTGCATTATCATCTCATATATCAGTAGTTTCGCAAGTTCCAGTTGCAAGGCGTGATCCTGTATTCACTTGGATTATATCTTAATAGCAAAAAAGATGTATTTAGATAAAAATGTATTTTGATTTAAAATCCTGGCATAGACAAGGCACAATTTTTACCTTGATGTAGCTAGTTGAGGTTAATGTTGTGCACACTCTCTGGGGTTGATAATAACTAGCTACATCTAATTAAAAACTATAGTACCATATCTCCATTAGGAGTTTACACTGGGGCTACGTCTAGACTACATACCTCTGTCAGTAGAGGGATGTAAATGAAGCACTTTGAAAGTGCAAATGAAGCTTGGATTTAAATATCCCATGCTTAATTTGCATAATCACATAATGGCGCTCTTTTGAAAAAGCCCTATTTCGAAATTGAAACCGCAGTCTAGAAACGGGGCATTTTTTCGAAAGATCCTGTAAGCCTTCTAAAGAGCCACGTCTAGACTGCGGTTTCAATTTCGAAATAGGGCTTTTTCAAAAGAGCGCCATTATGTGATTATGCAAATGAAGCATGGGATATTTAAATCCAAGCTTCATTTGCACTTTCAAAGTGCTTCATTTACATTCCTCTGCCAACAGAGGGATGTAGTCCAGACACACCCTGAGTGGGGAGTTTCTATGTTTAAAAAAAAAAAAAAAAAAAAAAAAAAAAGGGCCTGTTTTGCAGTGAAAACAGTCCTACCCCTGTGCTACCCTGTTGAATAACAACAAATGGAAACTGTGTTTTAAAAAAAGCCTTTGCTTTCAACAATGCAGAATGTTTGAAATCACACTGCATGGGCAGAATGCAGGTTCCCTGGAATAACTCAAACAGCCACAGGACAGACAATAGACTAGCAGTTTCACTAACCTGTGCATAAGAAACAATGTGGTATCGAATGAGCTCCAGACGTTTCCAGGCACCCTGCACAAATTTCCAAAGGACTTTTTTTAATCCAATGCAGATAGAACAAAACTCATGTGCTTTAAGACAACACGAATATGTATTTATAAGAATCAGTATTTACATTATCTGAAGAGTTATACCTCTGTAGAAAGCAGATAATCCAGTGCTCCATCTTTCATGTTATCCAAAGCATTGTTGTTTGGAACAAAGATTGTGTAGGGTCCACCATCCTGTTCCAAGACCAGTCCCAGGATAGTTTTCTGTTTTTATTAAAAAAAAAAAAAAAAAAAATTACATACTAGCTGTGCTGTGCATTTAAAATTAGCTTTATATAATTCCCCTTCTGTGGTCTTACCTCTAACATGGATCTAAATCGGCTGTATTTTCTATTGTCTTGAATCACTTTCATTATGGTCTCCTAAAAATGTATATGTAATTGTTATGTTACAATATTGTTACATTAGAAAGGAAATAACTAATGCATTTAAGTATCAGAGGGGTAGCCGTGTTAGTCTGAATCTGCAAAAGTGGTGAGGAGTCCTGTGGCACCTTCTAGACTTACCGAAGTGTTGGAGCATAAGCTTTAGTGGGCAAAGACCCACTTCATCTGACGCATCTGACGAAGTGGGTCTTTTCCCATGAAAGCTTATGCTCCAACACTTCGGTTAGTCTAGAAGGTGCCACAGGACTCCTCACCGCTAATGCATTTAAGATTTATTTGTTACAGGATCTTAACTGTTCTATCAATAGTAAAATATACTGTCATGCTCATAAATCCTTGTTTACTTGAATTATTGAATGAATCTCGATCATTAAAGACCTGGTTATATTGATTATTTTTGTTTATTATGTGTACTGCTGTCAGACTTAGACCCACTGACTGAGATCAGAGCCCCATTATAATAGGCACTGTATTTTCCCATAGTAAGAGATGGCCCTACCCAGAAAAATTTACATTCCAAGTTCACAAGACACACAGATGATGGTAGTATTGAAGGATTATTATCTGTATTTCCCAGTGAGACAGTGAAGTACAGAAAAATTATGGTCTTGCCCATGGTCACACTGCAACAGGTGTCTCGAGAAGGTATCTGAGGTTGGGCACTGAAAAATTAAGACATCTAAAATTAGTGGTCATTTTTCAAAGTCGTGGCCTTCAGTATTTTGGTTGCTGGTTGAATGTAACGCACATCAGGAGCTATGTCAAAGTCACTACCATCTAATGCAGGGCTACTCAACACGTGGCCCATGGGCCGCATGTAGCTCACGGTCTATTTGTTTGCGGCCTGTGGTGCGGCTAGGGTTTACACGGGGCTCAACACAAGGCCTGAGGGTGGGAGTCAAAACAAAAAAGTAGTCAATATAATGGACTTCTGTTGATATGCGTTTTAGTAGTTAAATTCCTGAACTGTCATTGCTCATTAAAAGTGGGTGGAAATCCAGTAAATATTACATTATATTAATATCAGCAGAGCTGTCTTAAATGGGGCCTGTGTGTTGTGTAGTCTTGCCATAATCTTTGTATTCAAACCCATCGGTGTGAAAGATGTTGTTTACTTATATTTGCATATGTAATTGCATGTATATGCAACCACACTTGAGTTGTGGTGCTGTATCATTGTGGCCCCCAGGGTTTCCAAAGTTGAGTAGCCCGGATCTAATGACTGTTCTGTAACATGAGTGGATTGATGGGTTTAGTCCAGTTCCAGTGAACAGATGGTCATTGCAACTGACCCCTTTCATTGACTCTCTCAACAGAGAAGTAAATATCTGAATGGAATGAAAACTACATCGCTACCTTCTTTTGGATGGTGTCCCTGCAAGTTAGGATTAAGGCATTTTGGCAGGTCGAATGAGGAAACTTGTACGGCTGCTCTCCATCGGGCATTTTTCATGAGCACAAATATATTTAAAAGTAATATTAAAAGTCTCATTGACACTTGCATATGAGCATGAGACCTCACCTCTTTACTGCTCCCAAATGTTGGTGCCACATTGTCCATAGCTTTGTCAATAATGTGCAAAATTCCGTTGGAAGCAATTATATCCCCCTGTAACAGTTTTCCTTTCTTCTTACTTCCCTGAATCCTAATTTTTATTTGATTGTCCTAAAACAAGAGAGAGAATAGGTTCTAAATCCTTTTTGTTGGAGCTGTTGCATTTCTGTGAGGAGTCTGATTTGCAAACAGCATATATCTTTCAGGGCCATCACCTGAAATTTAATCTATTGGGTGTTAGGCCCTGCCTCACAGCTCATGAAAGGAAATGGAAAGATTCCCAGAGACTTCAGAGGACTTTGGAGATGGACCATATTGCTTGGTTACAGGACGGCAAAGTTCAGAAGAGAAGCAAGGATGGTAAAGAGCATTAGCTTAATGGTGAGGAGAAGGATTTAGGTTTGAACTAATACAACTCTGACAGACACTAATGAAAATCTGTCAGGAAACCATTTAAAATGTGATTGCAGCTAATGGATAAATTCCAACAGTCTTGAGGGAAAACAAACCATTTCCTTATATTATATATATTTAAAACAACAAAATGTTGCTGATCATGCTTTGTACTGACATCTGCCGGAAACCTCATAGCTTCAGACTGCATTTATGCTTTCCTGGTTTAAATGGAATAATTGTTGAAAATAAAAAACAAGTCAGATCTCTTTTCTTAGGTCTGGTTTGCACTAGAAAATTAGATCAGCATAACTGTATCATTTAGGGCAGCACAAAAATCCATCTCCCATCCTGACCAGTGTATTTAAGATGACTTAAGTGTCCCTGTGTTGAACAGAACTAGACTGACAAAATAATTTTTCCATTACCCTAGCTATTACTTCTCAGGGAGATGACTTACCTATGCTGACAAGAGAAACCCTTGTGTCAGCACAGGTAGGGGCTACAGTGATGCGCTACAGCTGTGCAGTGCAGTTGTGCAGCTGTAGCAGGTCAAGTATAGAAATACCCTTAGATGCTGCTGATCTGCTAAAAGAAATAAGGAGAGCTGGATTTCAATCATTATAAAGGCTTAAGAGATCAAGAGAAATTTGTTTGGCTAAGAACATTACCTGCTGTTAAAGAGCATTTTAAAATGTAGTACACATACATACAGAAATCATTCATAATGAAACTCCAAATGTGCATCACTGAAGTTACACCAGACTGCACTTTATCCCACCTTTTCACAATCTGCTTGCCATATTGATTGTATTTATCTTGATGACTTATTTGGAATATGTCTTTCAAAAGGGTGACCAAACTGTGGTTCAATGGACCACAAGTCTCTGTAATTCTGCTGTGATTGCTCTTCTCCATACAGAGGTACCAGGCCCTTTCTACAGTCTTGTGTCTCCATCTGAGTGGCCTCCACTCTATTTTCCTTACTACAGGCAGTCCCCGGGTTACGTACAAGATAGGGACTGTAGGTTTGTTCTTAAGTTGAATCTGTATGTAAGTCGGAACTGGTACATATTGTAGGGGAAACTCTAGCCAAACATTTCTCCAGACCTCAGTTTTATTCTCCCACACCTCACTTCCCTCAGTCCTTTATTCTCAAGCTGAGGTGTCTGCTGAGAAAAGCCGCTCCACGTCTCCCTGGTCTGCTGGGGGGAAGCAGCTAGTGCGGGGTTGCCTCACCCTGTTTGTAAGTAGGGATCCGATGTAAGTCGGATCCATGTTACCCAGGGACTGCCTGTATTTATTTAGATTCCAGGATTGTGCCCATCACTGTGGTGAAGGGGAGCATGCTGGCCACATCTCTGTTTACAAGGATTTTATTTTAGAGAACATCTTTTCTTTGTTATGCTAGAACTCTAAGGGTGAATTTCCTGCCTTTGCCAACATCAGTGGGAGCATTGCTATTGACTTTAGTGGGGCTAGGACTTTACCTTAGCCCTCTGCAATGTTTGGAATCTGGCTGTTGTACTGGACTGCATTTCCTAGACAGAAATCTAAATGTACCCTGCCATCTCAGATTGAATGGGACTATCATTCTCCTTGTTAAAGTAAAAGACATATGAAGTCTCCTGCTGGTACTACTGCCATAGCAAAATCCAGACATGCTCTTACCTTATCACCTCTTAATATCTCCCCGGGCTTTCCAGTCAAGGTATAAATTGTGTCTGTGTTATTCAAGCTATTGGTATTCAGCTGACCAGCAATTATATGGAGTTTTACAAAGTACTGGGCATTCTCCTTATTGCTTAGGAGGTCCTTTATCTAGAAGAGCAGAGAGACAGTGATTTCTGGTTTTATATATTACAGACTTCATTTAAAAAAAAACAAAAAAAAAACCTCTGAGTTCTTGCTCTGTGCATTTATTTTTACAATTGATATGTCTGAATCCTATGTGGTTAATTCAGTACACAACTTCCCAAAATGAAGAGCCTTCAGGCCTTCATCCAAGGCTCACTGAAATCAATAAGAGTCTCTCTGACCCATGCACTTTATACACTCATGCTTAATCTTAAACATATGATTAGTCCCACTGACTTCAAAGCAATGGCTGGATGGTCAACACTTTGAAAATCAGGTTACTTTTTTAGGCACAGGAATATAGATGGTGAAACAGAGCTGACTGAAAATAATTGTAAATAACTATATACCTATAGGTGCAAATGAAAGTAACAAAACTTAAAGATTTAAAGTAAGACTGCGTTATAGCCAGATTCAATAAATAGAGAAGAAAGACTGAAAGAGAAGTTCTGTATAAGTTCAAAAGCTTCTCTCTCACCAACAAAAACTGGTCTAATAAAAGATGCTACCTTACCCACCTTGTCTCAAAACAACAAAGACTTTTTTTGTTGTTTCAACTGTGGAGAGATTTGTTTTACAGTTCGAAATCATACTAGCTTGAAAAGGTTCTATGGAATCCAAAATATCAACACACATCTGACTTTTTTAATTTGTCAAAAATCTCTCCCACACTTACATTAATTCCTTTGAATCCTTTGTTTGTTGGCAGCAAAATAGTAAATGGTCCCAGACTACTCAGAGGCCATTCGTAGACGTTTTCTTACAAGAAACAACAAATGACAAAGTGAATACCATGAGGGATTGTGGAGTCTGTTCTATACAATGTAAGGTGTACTGTCAATTCCAAAAAAGCAGAATAACAATACCTGTGAGTTAAAATTTAACAGCTAAATAACTGTATGATTGGCTTGGAATATGAGCAGTAAATTATGGGTGGAATCCAATCATCATTGCACCTACTATATAAGGTGAGGCAAACACATTTAGAATGGTTTTTAGTAGTGGAACAGAAACCAGTGCAGGCAAACACATTTAGAACAGTTTTTGGTAGTAGAATAGAAACCAGTGCAAGTGTTGAAAACTGATTTTCATCAGCCTTGCATTAGTTTCTCTCCAGGAAAACAGGTTTGCTATTAAAAAAAAATGCTGTCCTTCAGGGACTTTCCAATTAATTGCTGGCAGTGCAAATATCAAAGAACATTTAGCTAGGTAATAAAAGTTAATTTGCTATTCAGGGTGACATACCATTTGCAAAACAGCACTAATAACACTCATAGCACTAATGTTATAGTGAAGCCCAGTATTAAACCCTGTTTTCAGAGGTTTAAAATTATAGCTGGGCTGAGTGAAAACTGCATTTTGTTCAAACCAAAACAATTTGTGAGTTTGTCATGAATTTGCCAAATGCTTTTGGCCAACACTTTTTTGTGCTAGATTCACAAGAGGACTTAGTCAACAATGGAGGAAGAGCACCTATAACGTTTAGCGTAGTGATTGGGGCTCTCATCTTGGATATGGGAGGCCCAGATGTGAATTTGAGATGGGATTCAATTTTTCCTGTTAAAGTTGCTTCATTGTGTATACAATATTTGAGAAGATATTGAGCCACAATGTAAGGAGGGTTCTATAGCCTGGTGATTAGGATATTCACCTGGGTTAAGTCCCTGTTTCAGAGCAGGAATTCAAATCTGGGTCTCAGAGCTAGAAATTTATTTTTAAACAAATATAAAGAGTCTTCTTTTCTTTTCTAAGTCCCTGAAATTACAGAGGCCCTGCAGCCCATGTGCTCTGAAAACCCACCAAAGTGAGGGCTAAATGTAGAATGTATCCAAATAAATAAGTCCAAGAGTTATCTATCGGAGCCCTCTGTGATTAGAAGAATACTCCAGGGAGACCAGTGGAGGAGGAGCCTCTTCCTCTTGGCAGAAATTGAGTTCTCATTCTTAATTTCAAAAACTGGGCCGAAACTTATCTTAACTCACATGGCATTTTGCCAGATGGCTTGAGAGCCTTTGCAGTCATCTGTCATTCAGTCTGACTAAACTAACGCAACACTAGATACTTCAAGGGATACTTTACCAGGGGCAGAGTGAGAGACCCTCAGACTTTTGGTGGTCCTGGGAGTTTCTAGGCTTCAGGCTTGACGTTGTTTCTTTGCTGACTGCTCGTCAGACTAAATCTACATTATTTTCCTTAGTTACCTACCAATGAGGGTTATGGCAGATGTCAGTTTTCCTTGCCACTGTCCTCCTGGTTCAGTGTTCAGGTCTCGGATGCGTTCCATTATATTTCCATAGCATACAAACCCATCACCTACATAGCCTTTCTGGCAGGTACACCTGTGAAAAGAACACAACTAACTTTTAGCATCAGTTTGGATGCAGATACTGTTGTATCATTAAAATGTTAATGAGAGTGTAGCAGGGCAGCTGCCCTGTACTGGCCCTTTAAGAGCCAAACCCCAGCCTGGAGCAGGCCCGGGGAGTTCAGCCCAGCTGGGCGGCGCTGGCCAATTAAGGCCCAGCTGGGAGCTATAAAAGGGAAGGGCTGCTTCAGCAAAGGCAGTGTGAGCCTGGCTGCCGAGGGAGCAGGACGCTCCCTGGAGCTAGGGCAGGGCTAGAGAGCCAGGCTGGGCCAGGGCGCTCGGACAGCCAACCGGCCGGCCTGCGGCAAGGCCTGCTGGAGAGACACCAACCCCCGGAAGGGGGGCTCAGAGCGAGTGACTTGGGCACTGCCGGAGGGCAGTGTGGCGAAGAGAGCAACGCGACCGGAAGGTTCCAGAGGAGAAACGCCACGTGAGCGGAGGCCTGTGCGGGTGGAATGGACTGATCCCGGGGACAGATGACGGACCCCCGCTACGGTGGTGAGTGACCCCCCTCACAGAGAGCTAACTGAATTGTTCTGAATTGCTAATTTGAGTTTGATGATTTGCAAATCTAGTCCATTTCACATTTTGACCAGTTCTACAGTCTAAGTAGCACTTGATGAATAAATGGTTCCTCAGTTTTCTGTCACTTATAAGGTAACTTTAATACATGTATCATTAGTTGAGCAGCAGTATTTTTACTTTACTACAGTAACATTTGTGTCCCACCTTAGCACAAGATCACATGAGGTGATGAAAATGACATTGCAGCAAAGAGAGAGTTCCAAAATTAAAGTCTATTTGCCAGATTTTATAGTTTCTTTAAGATAAACTTCCTTGATCTTGTCTGCATTAATTACATTCTAGAAGACTTACGCAGTGTTGCCCTGGTCCGGGGATGGGGACGGAGGCTGTGCACTCTGCCCTGTAGCCCATCCCTAGGGACGGCCTGAGGGTGGTGGGGGACCACACAAGTTACCTGTTGGCTTCTCCCTGGGGCCAGTCCAAGCATGGGGGCAGGCGGCCATGCAGGCCACCTGCCAGCACTCCCCAAGGGCAGAGGTGGGGCAGCCTCATAGGCTGCCTATGGTGCTCCTTGGGGTCAGGCCAAGAGGCTGGGGGGGAGGGGCTGTTTCATGGTGGCTGGGGGCAGGCTCAAGTACTGAGGGCTGTGCTGCCAGCCAGGGACTGCTCCCTTGGGGCTTTTGCTGGCCCCATGTGGTCATTCGTGAGTATAACTGTCCCCCGAGCTTGCTGCCTCCCTGTAACCATGCATGAGTATAACTGTCCCTGCGATCACACCCTTTCCTTTTCATTGGATACAAAACAGTCACATTTCAGGCACATCCCGATATCCTGGCACAACCAAATCCTGACCTGGCTTTAAGTTATGATAAGAGGAAGCTGCATACCAAATTTGGCGGTCCTAGTGCTTTCTGTTTAGGAGGAGTGAACAAACGGACTCACAGACGGACAGCTAGACAGACAGATGCACGTTTCTAAAATACATAGTCAGAGAAAGAGGGTTGATATGAACTCACATGATCACAAAGCTGCAGCCACACACATCTGAAGCCATGTTTGTATCTCCCACAATATACATTGTATCTACTACCTATTGAAAATTATTTGTCCCTTTTCAACAATGCAAAGGGGGTGATGGTTGAAATATTGATCTCAGTCTAACAGTATTTTTGTCAATATTACTGATGGCTTAGCATAATTCCTCTGCAGACATCATGATATGAAATCACATACTTCCATAGTGTGTATCTGTTTTTCCTCCATGTGTGCGCAACTGCCCTCTACTGGATGAAATGTATCAGCTGTTCAAATACCCAATCACACTGCCCGCTAGAGTAGCAATGGGCAATGTAGGATAGTGACAAGATTGTTGTAACCAAGAGGCTCTCCCGGGATAGGGTAGTTTTGCTAATTCCTCTTGCATGCCTAGAATTTACAAGGTGTGCTGACTGAACAACAGCAGCACTGTGATTGGATGCAGAGGGAGTGCACAGGTCTCAGTCAATGTTGTGTGCAGTCAGCACGCATATCACCTCATGTGTCATTGCTTTATGCACGTTACTTTAGTAATACCAGTAGGAAAAACGCTACACAGATGGAAACCAGTGGAACTATGTGCTTGGGCAATGGTAAACAAAATGTTTCACAAGCCACCCATAGAACCACAATGGGCCACAAGCTGATTGCCACTGAGCTAGACTCTCCGGAGGATGTTAGACCTTACACTGTTGAAATAGCACAACCACAAATGTTTCTGGAGTAGCTGCTAGAGCACATAAAAGGTCCTGATTTTTCAAAAGCAAATAGCAATTTTGGATGCCTGCCTTTGAAAAACCTGGAAGTGGCTGGATTATGAGGAGATGAGGTGCCTAGTTCTTTCTGAAAATCAGAGCCCGTTACAGTGTCTCAAGATGGGCATTCAGAATCATTGGCTGACTTTAAAAATGTTCCTGCCCTCTTCTTCACCAAGGCTGACACTGTTATTTTGTACTTGCTTGGTTGCGTACAGGCCCCACTGTGTGATTTAAGCAGTGACTGCAGCTGAAATGAAAAAAGCACCCTTCCCAGTTAAATCAACAGCAAGTTACATTATCAGATGAGCCTTATACTTAATGGTTCATCTGACTGAGTTTTCTACAAGCTTCATTAAAGAAGGAATATTATTACCACACAATTGAAAGAAACTTCTTTCTATAACCAAACTATCTCCAGGTGTTCACCTCCTGCTTATATTTATTATGCATGCACATCTTCTGCCAATCTCACACGCACATCACATGTTCTTCCCTAAAGTCCACAGAGTCCCCCCTGAGGGTATATCTACACTACAAAGATTTTTTGAAAAACGGACGTTTTTCTGAAAAAAAACTTCACTTACGTCCACACTGCACCCACATGGCAATCACGTTCTTTTGAAAGTAAATTGAAAGAGCAAAGGGGTTTTCCTGGCATTGGTAATCCTCTTTCTATGAGGAAGAAGCCTTTTTCTGAAAGAACTCTTTTGGAAAAAGGCGTGTGTGGACAGGGAAGAGGGAGTTCTTTTGCAAGAAGAGGAAAAAGCACAGGTGCTCTGGTGGCCACTCTGTCCATAGTTATCACAGTTTAAATGCGAGATAGCGTCCACACTGAATGGATGCTAGCTTTAAAAAAAGCAGATTGCTTTTTTGATGTGCTGTGGCAGTGTGGACGCGTTGTTTCGGAAGATGTTTTCCCAGAAGATCTCTTCTGGAAAAGCTTCTTCTGAAAGAAGCCTACAATCTAGATGTAGCCTGAGTATGGAGAACTAGAGGTTTAGAAGGAGATCTAGGATTGTGGTCAAGAGGCCCGTGTAGTGCCCTCTAT